TCGGCCCCTGCGGCAAAGCCCTGTTTGCGAGTCTGTGGGCAGACGGGTGCTGATGGAAGTGGTGGTGGTGGTGATGTGGAGTGCTGCTGGTAGCGGTGATGGAGGGGGGGCCGCTGCTAAAATTGCTGAAGTACAGACAAGGGAAGTTAAAAAATCACAGGGTTAGAAGGATAAAGTGAGGAGAGGATGGGGAAGCAACAGCACTGGCTGTTGTTGTAAGACATACTACCGATGCACTGTGCAAAAGTGAAAAGTGAATTGTGTAGAAAGCGAGGAAATTAGGTTAAAGTGAGAAACTGCAGTGTGCCACAGTGTCCATAAACATGATCAGTATGATGGTGGTGTCTTTTGTAACAGAAAATATATGTGTTATAATTAAATGCAAATTCTGTCAATGATATGCAGCTAAGTTAATAGTGGAAAGGTGAATGTTGCTGGAGCCTATTGTTATGTCTTTGGTGAAAGGTAAAATTTAATCGAGGCGATGTTGTAAATCACTTCTATGAGTATACTGTGCCTTGTGGAAATATACAGCATAAGAGGGAAATATTGTACTTTTTATTTCACTACATGTATTTATCTATCTATCTATCTATCTATCTATCTATCTGGTATAGTTACTAGTTACTTTTCAAATTAAGATTTTACATACTCAACACATGGTCAGTTTTTTAAATATGACCCAACAATATTAACAAGCAGTTAAAAAAAGTAGTACAACTCAATTAAAATACTGCTTACGTGTACATGTATTAATAATAATGACCCAGAAATACAATAATATAACACAGAGGCACCATTCTGCAGTATTAGTGCTTTTATTTTTTATACATTAAATACATTTTGTTGCTAATAAATTCAAGTTTGAATGTTTGAATTATAATGGAGTATTTCTACATAGTGGTATTTCTACTTTTTCAATAAGTAAAGGATCTGAAAACTTCTTCCCCCACTGCTAACTGTAGTTTACTTTATTGTAATGAACATATTTATTTATTGTTAGATTCAATTGGAAATGATACATTTCTAAATTATAGTCAAATTATTAAGTATAACTTTCATGATGGGTTAGACAGATTCTTCATATTCTAGAAATGTTATATTATAATTTTATTTGTTACATTATAGTTGTTTATAGTGGGTTTCTAATAAAATATCTGTGAGCTACGAATAGCTAAGTCTTCATTATCTAATGCCCTCTGAATTTTTTTTATTGATTACTGTCACAAGTGTGACCTATGTATCGAGGAAGCTGACCTGAGTGAATTATGAAGACTGTCTTGGAGATCACCTCTGTTACCAGACCAACATTGTTAGTGTAAGAGATGTGGTTTCAACAGTAAAATATTTTCTAAGCTCATTTTTTGCTGGAAGGTTATTTCTAATGAATGCGTTTTGAATTCAGAGAACTCTACGCTATTTCAGAACAGATCTTTCCCCAAACTTGATAAACTCTTGATCTCTGCTTACAATTAATATTACTGTGTAGTACTAATTGTCTCAAAGCTTGACTTGCAACATTGTGAAGGTATTTGTTTTTCTGTCAGCCCGCCAGCACTGATTATCCTCATGCTTGCAGTGGAGTGAAATAGCACCTACACATATTGTTGAGTGTCTTGCAAACAGCTTTACTGCTTAAAGGATAATTTCGGTATTTTTACACCTGGGCCCCAATTTCACATATTTTGTGCAGAAATGACTAGTGGGTACAAAAAATTTTGCAATCCGTGCGGTATATTCATAGATTGTTTTGCACGCAGATGCACATACACACAGATGAAAAAAACTATGTAAATTATGTAAGTTTCACATTTTGAAGGAGAGGACAGAAATGCAGTCAGACTATAGGCTACATTCAGCCTCAAGAACAAACAGTGCAGTTTGGTGAGAAAAAGTGATTGTAAACATTTGTTTGTTTATGAAAAAACTCCACTACCTTTAAAGAGGTGGTATTATGCTTTTTGGCTCTTTCCCTCTCCTTTATTTATTTATTATCTTTTTTGTGCATGTAACAACAGGTTTGCAAAGTGAAAAACCCCAAAGTCCAGCCAAAGGGAGTTCCCATCTCCCACAGAAAGCACTGCTCTGAACAGCTCGTTGTAGTCCAGCCCTTCACTTCCTTTACTTGTGACGTCACAATGAAAACGCGTCATAAAGCTTGCCAAGCAGCTTGCGGGGGTCAGGCACGCCCTCAAACCAAGCTAGTCTGAGCGGAAGCCCTTTGGCTTGACTCGCCTTTGTTTGGGATTCCATTGTAGAAATGTTGCACCTGTACCTGCTTCCAGGTACTTTATTTCATATCACCTCCCCTCCTTCCAGGTTCCAAGGCAGCTGAGGGATACTAAAATGTAACGTGAAAACAGGACAGATTGCTGATTGGTAAGTGAGAATATTCACTATTCACTGCATCATCATTGCTGCACCAGACAGAAGCCAGCAACAGAAAGTTTTATATTTTACAGTTTTCATATGGAATTTCATCACTAAATCCACTTCTGGGAAGTTCTGAGGTGGAGTTGAGGAGCTCCGCAAGTGGCTGCGGGGGAAGGCTGTGCCAACCCGCGGAAGGAGCGTGTGAGGCCGGCCAGCCGCCCGCTCACAGAGCCCTCTGCATCGCCGTCACACAGACCGCTGCAGCAACAACGGCAGAGGAAAACACAGCCGAGTAGAGTCGAGTCTATCGATTTGCGTTATGGTAGCATTTTTCGGCAAGGCAGCATAGATCGTCAGAACACCGGCAGCAGTTCAACGTTTAGTCCTAATGGTAAGATGTGAAACAATGATGTTGTGTGGTTGTGGACATCTGCTAGGTTACGGTCGCGGTCTGAAGCGGCTTTGATTTGGATCATACTACTTTATTTCTTACGACCCGTCCTTCTCTGCTTCTGATTGGCTAGCAGTCCTTACCTGGGAACTGAAGATTTTGAACAAGTAAGATGCATCACTCTGTAGCTCAAGAGCGGAGCGTACAACACAGGGTGAAAAGAGGAGCTGCAGCAATGTGCAGTATGAGAAAAATATGGTGTTTTTTGAAAATTAAACCATGTAAATCTGTTCTGGTACAACCCCTAATTAAGATTTTGAACCTGAAAATGCGCATAATACCACCTCTTTAAAGCAGCAGGCACACCACAAAGTGACATTCACAAGCAAAATAGATGGGGCCAGAAGCTTGGTCACATGACTTGTCGCAGAGCTAGATGGTGAGCTGCTGTCGGTAAATAGGCTAAAGTTTGCCGGCTTAGCCGGGCCAGAGCTTGTCCAGCCTATTCTCATGCCAGGCGTCATATGCACACGCTTGCCAAGCCTATTTATTTCACGCAGAACGTCAATTTTGCGTGTTTAGGAGACGCCCCCAGGCGTGTGTATATAAGATGCATCCAGGCGCATCTGTATATGACGCCCTGAGGTGACTGGAAACGCTATGATGTTAGATGTTTGTGTTTAAGGCGTTGACAGTCTCCCGAGGCAACTTACCCTAACCTTAACCGTCACAGAAGTTAGTGCCAAAACCTAGGCACTAACTTCTGAAGTTAGTGCTTGTCAGTCATAATAGCTCCTGGAGCTTCTCTCTATATCCTCTTGACTGTTCTGTTTACTTCCTCCTGGCATTTTGTTCACAATTGCACACCATTTCATTCAATAAAACATAATAGAAAAGGGAAAATAAAGCTCTTCTAATGGTCAGTTCAACACATTCTCACTTCCGACTCATATATTATACATATTGACGCTTGGACAGGGCCCTTTGGCATCTCTTTTTAACGTCCTGGTTGTGAAACGTTACAGTTTGGTTAGGTTTAGGCACAAAAAGTACTTGGTTAGGTTTAGGCAACAAAACTACTTGGTTGAGGTTAGAAAAAGATCATGGTTTGGTTTAAAATAACTACGTAGGTCAGTTAACAAGGTAAGTTAAATGTAACTCGCGTAACTTAAATAAAAATGATTAATGATGACTTTTTGTTTCACATGGGACACAAACCCCTGCCTCCTAGTTCAAAGTACGGGTTCTGGCCCTCCATCCACCCCAACCATCTCCTTACTCAGTCTTTTCTGTTAAATATCATATACCTGCCTTTACCGTCAAAAACTGACGCTACAGGGCTTCCCCCAATGCGTTGAACTATGACGCTATAGGTATCCCCAGTGTGTTACAAACTGACGCCGATGGGTCTTGACCATGCGTCCATATGTGACGACTCGGGGATTGAGAACAGGTTAGTCAGTTAGCAAACTCATCAGCTTGTTAGCTTAGCTCAGTAGCTAATTGGACAATAATTTCACACAATTTATTCAAAAGACCTATTTGTATCATTATATCTGCTCTCATAACTGTCTGCAAACCACTGCTCTTTTGTGGAACATTTTCTACTCCAACAGAGGTTAAATAAAAGTCGCAACACAGTTAAACTATGAAGGCTCCCTCTAATCTGGCTGTCAAAGGTCAGCACTGTCAAGATGGCTTACTATTGGTTAACAGCATAAATTCGGGTGTCCAAGTTCATCAAAGCTGTTACTCTACGAGTAACATTTGTGCACATGAATTTTCTCGAGCGGATCCTCTGATCGCGGTGATTCCATTGTAATGAATTGATTTCACTGCAAAATTTCAGCCTCTTAAATCCCGGCGAGTCCAGTGTCTCTGATCACTTTACACCAAAAGATACCAATGGAGAAAATGTATGCATGACTCTTGCAGTTACATAATAATTTTTGATTCATCATTTCCTGCCAGCTTTAAAACATGCAGTGATTGCCATGACTACAGATGGCATGCACATAAATACTGCACAGTAAATTATTTGAATAATTATGAGAACGTGAGATGTCCTTGTGAATAATCCTTACCCGCGAGAGATGCAGAGTGTTTTGAAGCTTGTATGAGCAAATTACATGCTAAATGAGATATGCAGTATTATGATAAAATGTGTACAGTGCGTTTTATATATTTATGGTGGACTGAGTTTTCAAAGGGTGAAAATGGGTGCTGAAAAGTGTACCTTGTGTGAGAAGTTGAAGGGTCCTGACTTCCTCCCGGACGCGAAGCTGCAGGACCTGCTGCAGGATGTGCTGCCTTTGGGCATCCTGCATGATACCCATTCTTTCCAGTTTTCTGTCTGTCAATCTCATCAAAGCCCGCCCTAAACAGAAAAAATAAAAAAAAGCTGAAGGTTAAGGGCCAGAAGGAGCAGGAGGCCTGGGGGAATGCAATATGCACTGCTGGAGGCACTCTAAAAGGGTACATATATAGAACATGTCAGTAAAGAACAGAGTGAGGAAACTCAAACAAATATGGTCAGATTATTACAGCCCCACAAATCATGCACTGTATGATTTTATGAGAGAGCTTTTCAAGGTTGCAACACTGTGACTGACAAAAAAAAAGTTTTTGAGAGACTTTGCCGATTATGTGAATGTAAATCAGTCAGAAATTAAGCCCAGCATAACTCAGTGTGAAGCATATTCTTCTAAAACACAGTACACATTCTCCATAAATACCAGCACTGTACATCCCTTGAGCACGAATCCCTCACAGCTCCTTCCTTAATTGCAAATCCTTGTATAAAATCCATAATTTAATCATCCAATCAGTTTCTATGAGAGGGATTTAGGCTGCTGGTAAAATGCGAGTAGAGTATGATGTAATTATTAACGGTTGTTATGAGTGCCTTTGTAACATGTGGGGTGGTAAGCAGATAGAATGATAATTCAGGGTAATTACTAGGCATTAGGTTGGACCCTGAGAGCCCCCTTTGCTTCTTTGCCCGATTGACTGCCTTGGCAAGAAACTGGCACTGATTGGTTGACAGCCAGGATAAAGATCAGTCCTGATAGGCTCATGGAAGTAATTCTGTCACATTCTGCTCCCCTGTCTTATTTCTCCTCTTTTCGTCCCCTCTATTTCTGTACACAGATAACTGAAGCTCAAAAATGTGAAGTTCCATTCATTACTGAGGCAAGACTGATACGGAATTTACACTTTTAAATAATTGTTCTTATTCAATGCCCCCTTTTAAAAACAACACAGAGAAGAACTTTATGATTTTATGTCTCTTGATTTGTTTTGACAATCTAGTCTTGTAGATTTTTAGGGCATGCTGCAGCCCCAGCTACCAATTTGCTACCACGAAACAGAAGGGGGTAGTTGGGAAATCTAAGTACCTTTAAGTGTAAGTGGTATAACATTGACTGTGCTAGGGCAATTTTCTCCTGCCTCGACAAAAGAAGCTCTTTGCTCGGCGCTACGGCCAGATGGGGGTAAAATGCCAAACATAGTTAAGATGCTTCATAGCAAAATGGCGCAGAAAGTACCCATCACATAAACACTGAGGAGCTAAGTAGAGTCATAAAGGCCCAGAAGTGAGAGGAGCATATTAAATGGGAAGATGGAAAGACAAAGATTAGTGAGGTGGAAAGACAAAGTAGACTGATGAATCAAAGCCGTGGAAATGGGCGGAAAGTTGGGGAGAAGAGGGAGATGTACAAATTAACAGAAGAAAACCAATGTACATATAAAACATGCTGTTATGAGTCTATAAATATTGACCAACCATCACTCAGCACCTCATCCTGTAACCAAAGATAGATCGGCATGGCAACAGAGGTTTTTCACTTCTTCTCTGCCTCAGAAATGTTAATCTTAAGTAACGGCCAATACAAGAGATGCAGGGTGGTGATGGCGCAATGGATAAAATGCCTGCCTTTGGTGTGAGAGACCTGGGTTCAATCTGCCATTGTGACCCATACACCACTGTGTCCCTGAGCAAGACACTTAACTAGTGATGGGCAAATGAAGCTTTTGTGAAGCACTGAACCAATTGTTTCGAAAATGGGTTCATTACTCGAAGCTTCAGTTACAGTGACCTCTCCTGGCGAAGCTCAAGGCTGCAGGCAAATTAGACAGGCTAGTTGGTGGACAGGAGGCTTTTAATTACATACACGCACGCCCCTCGATGAGCAGTGCTGGAGAAACTACTTTACTTTTGTAGAAAATACCATTAGTTATAAAGCTTTGCTTGAATCACCCTTGGATTTAAAGTATATTTACTTTGAAAATTCTTTGATGCACACACATTAAGACTGAACATCATGTTCAAATAAAGATTGATGAATGAATGTATTTTGTTATTGAGGAGAGAGTGCTGGGAAATATGGCACAGGTTGGATGTGCTTGTGTTAGATGGGGTGCACAACACTCACTTTCGAGACGATCGAGGCAGTGCCAGTGAATCACGTGACTGGACCGCGAACCAGTCGGTGATTCATTCAGTAAGTGAAGCAGTTGCTGCTTCGGACGTCACATGTCACGTGATTTTTTTCGCACCAAAGCAAGCTTTGAAGCAGTGGTTCAATTGTTGGATTGTAGTCAGGGGTTTGAAGCGTGTATCGAAGCTTCAGTGTCGCACTGCCATCACTACACTTAACCCCTAGTTGCTCCAGAGGCGTGCGACTTCTGACATGTAAAGCAATTGTAAGTTGCTTTGGATAAAAGCATCAGCTAAATGACAAAATGTAAATGCAATACAGCTCTCTGACCAAGAGATAAGCAGATGGTTCACACAGCATCTTTGCTTATCTTTGTATTGCCAAAAAAAAAGCTTTTGGGATTATTTATTGAGGCATTCACATGTTAACATGGAGAGAGTGTTTCCGTTAATTGTGGTGTTTTGTTGACATTGGCTTGACTCCCTAACTGTTTGTGTAAAAAATAAAGTGTGTGAAAAGGTTACTGTCGACACTGATCACAGGTACAGATTGTTTGGAAATACATTGTATTTAAAGGAGAAGTTTTTGGGAAATACACAAGTGAAGTGACAAGGCGGTTGCCATTTTGGCTTATCTTGATTCACAGTTCAAAAAAATTTTGCAGACCCTCAGCCCATCCTCTCTCTGAAACAAGCAGTTTGAGCTCCTGTCTCTTTAAGCCCCTCTACCCAAAAAGCCCACTTTCATATGATTGGCCAACTTCCTGGAAGCCGGCCTAGGGGCTTGTGAGCCGCTGTAACCTAAGATCTCTATATACACACCTCATCCTCTTGCCGGTGTGGTCGATGGCATATGACAGCTTTAACTTATCTTGGCAAATAGCGATATGGGACAATGAATTTGATGAATTGGTAGACACTGCTAGAATGAGTGTTTCTATACTCATTACTCAAATACTCAAATACTTGTGGGCCTGGCAATTCTGCGTGGGGCCTCATTGATTACTCTACAAAGACAACTACTTATTCACTGATTTTAGTGAAACTGGAGCCTCTACATGGACAGCTTTAAAATAACCGCTAACTGCTGCTAATTGTAACGTTAGCTGCCGCTAGCTCAGTTAGCCATGCAGCTAGTGGCCCTGTTAGCCTGGCTGACCCTGCCCTCACTGGGAGCTCGCGCAACAGGGGAATGTTAGCACAGGACCTTTGGACCGTCGGGTGGAGGAGGTTTTCATGGCTCCGAGTTTCAAATTCTTCTTTAAAGAGATAGGCTATATGGCATAAATTGTAAACCCCCATATTTTGGGGTGGTGATGGCGCATAGATACGATGTTTGCCTTCGATGTGGGAGACCCGGGTTCAATTCCCACTGTGAAATAGCCACCATTGTGTCCCTGAGCAAGACACTTAACCCCTAGTTTCTCCAGAGGCGTGCGAATATGTAAATATTTTGATATTCTGCCGTATTTGTCTGAGGTGGTGTATGGTACCTGCATGTAGCATAACTTTGTAGTTTTTTCAGTCAGTGGCGCGGTAAACTATTCTGTTTTGTGTTTTTTTTTTTTCTTCAAACGCGCCAGACACATGCAAGTAGGTGGGTGTGGAGAGAAAAAATAAATGCTGGGAGATCATGCTTTTGATTTTGAAGGTTAAAAATGAAAGCTCATTTCAATCAATTTAGAATCAAAATTCTGACACCTCTAAGCATGAATGCTTAAATTACCAAATACGTTTTCCTGTTGAGGTTTTAATACACCAGGCCTGATATCCTCTAACAGCTTTAAACAAGAAGTGTATTAATGTGACCAGGTGGAGTACTGTGGATGGCTGGAAAATGAGAAGCTCGCCAACGACTGTGAGCAAACTGCCAGTTCTCTGCGGTGGGTGCCAACGTGCCGCTCCTTCCGGTCGGCGAAGCAGTATCAGCAGGGTGGAACAGCTTCTGAAAGGAGTCCAGGCTTTCACTTTCTTGCCCTGCAGTTCTGAGCCATTGGCTTCAAAAATCACACCAAGCCTCAGCTGGGAATTTTTCAAACCACAATTAATACTCTGAGCAGTGTAGCATGGCCATGAGAAGAGGAGGAGTAGTACAAGGACGAGGACAGAAGAGGAAATTGGTCAAAAGGGAAAAATGAGGTGGTGGTGGTGGGGGGGGTGCTTGAAGAAAAGTAGATTTTCTGAAAGTGATTAGTGAATCAGCTGTTAAAGGCATCACAATTACACACACAAAAAAAGATGGGCTATGTGGTGGTGCAAACGAAATATGTTGGCTTGGTGTTGTGCTACAGGGTAAATTTGCATGATTACAGCATTATGACAGATCATGGCCTCAGGTCATCGCAGGTCAACAGAAGACAACGGTAAAAAGAAGACAAGGCAGAAAATCATTAACTCTTGACCCAAAACATATTTTACACACTAACATAGTAACAACAGCAGGGGGGGAGTTAAGTTCTGAGCATGTGTAATGTGTATAATCACTTTTGCCTTTTTGAAGGCAAGGAAGACTTTTTTTCTTTTACTCCTTCCATTCACTTCATCTGTGGTCCTGTCACTACAGCTTATGAGTATTGATTGGATTCAAATTTCACTTCTCTGACACCTGACAGAACCTTTTCTCTTGTCTTCTTTTCAATCCCTCTCTCCCACTTTTTCCATTGAAATGCTTTGCACGTTTTGAGCAAATGTTCCAAATAAAAAGCTACATAAAATGTGAATTAGCACCTGTTATCATCAACAACCTATATACAAGTTCATGAATATGTAACAAGATTACATAATTCTCTTGCTCCTACCATCATTAAAGGGGAGCTTGTGACTGCAGTATAAATATAACACTGATTTTATTTATAAAGAGGCAAATCAATGCTTTTTTTAAGGAAGCTTCAAGGTTGACATGTCTCTGTTGAAGCTTTGCCCTCTTCTACTGTACT